TGTTTTTTTTTCCTTTTAATAAGAAAAAATAGATTCAGGTAAAATCCCTTGATTTTGTTTGTATAAATTGTCACTTCAATTTCTTAAAAGTTCTTAGAAATAGGATGGGGAGGGCAAGGAAAAACACAGCTTAAAAATGAGTCAGTGTTCTTTCCCATGGAAAGGCCCTAATAATGTCAATGTATTTTTTATTTTATCATCTAATCATGGGAACATAACAGACATCAGTTGCAACCCTCAGGGCTGAAGAAAGTTCAAATAGGCTAATAAGAGCTGGTTGTTAAATTTTCAGCATGAAAACTGACACCTGGGCAAATACTACAAATCAGAACCTGATTTGTTATTTTGTTGATTATCTATACTTAATAAAATTATATAGAAAATGTCAATAATGGGGATTGAACTTAAAAGCATGTTGTTTCTACAATATGCAATTTTATTTTTTTGAGATCCCATTGTTAAACATTTACTGGCACACTCCTGACTATAATATTTTATATACTTAAATAATCTTCCCTTATAAGAAGAGAATCATTTCATGAAAAATCTTATTTAGTTGCCTAATTTTAAGATTTGAAGAGCCTTTCAATATCATTCAACCCAAACTAAATTTGCTGATAGGAAAATAGATTTCAACAAGTTGAGGCTTATACATAGTAGTATCCAGATTATATCCTATGCCTATTGATTTCCAACCCAATTCCTTTGATATGACACCTTTAGTTATTTCTTGACACCTATTATTGGAGGTCATGAACCAGAAGAGAAGTCAGCAAAGGACACTGAGAAGGAGCAGCCTGATAGGTAGAAGGAGAACCAAGAGAGTGGTATCCTAAAAATCTCAAGAGAAGGGAATATCACAGGGAAGAGGGTGATGAAATGTCAAAGGCTAAAGAGAAGTCAAGAACAGTTAAAACTTAATAGAAAGACCAAGGAATTTCATAATTAAGAGAACATAGGGTATCTAGGAGAGAACAGTTTTGGTGAGATCAAAAGTTAGATTATAAGGGATTAAGCAGAGATTAAGAAGAGAGAAAATGCAGCTACCAATTATGCATGGTCCTCTCAAAGAAGACCAGAAGAACTATATGATCTTCTCTACCTTTCTTCTCTAGCACATATGTAGGAGCTAAGGTGGTGAATACTGGAAATGATCCAAGCCTGAGGTTTGGCAGGACGCAATTGGTTATATAATCAGGGGGCAAGGGACTTAAGAGAAGAGGACAGGTAGAGTTGAAGGGTTCACCTAAGGGTGAAGATGAGGAAAAGAGAAGAGAGTGGTTCACAAAGGGGCTTGGGAGAGAATTAAGGGGTCAAGGGATTGAAAATGACATTCTGGACAGTGAATAGGATTTAATAAGGGAAGGAAGGAGAGGTAGAAAACTAAGAGATTATGGTTAGATAAGGATGTTTTGCAATTCTTGAATATAGTCGTGGGGCATTTTTGGATGATGGAAATATCAAGTGTATGACCATATATATGTGTGGCTGAAGTGGAGTGGAGGTAAGTAGATATGAGTGATTAGGGTGTTTGAGGAAAAGCTGTCGATATGCTAATGTCCCCTGGTATGGGGACAGGGGAGAGCAAATGAAAATGCAGGAAGTCAAGAGATAAAAGGTAATTGGGGGTTGGGTAACTAGCACAATAATTTCATTTTACCACTGAGGAATCAAAGACTGAGAAAAGCTAAGTGACTCATCCCTGGTCATACAGCTGAGAAGAGGCAGACAGGACTGCATTGTAAACCCAATACTTTCCAGATTTAATTAATATCCATAATAACAAGTACATTACTTTAATGCCCTTAGGATAAAGACTTTTTTGGACCGTGCTTCATTTTTAGCAAGCAAATTTTCCAATTCTCTCCTTCATTTTGCCCATAGGAACATGATGGATCTACTTTAATGAATATATTTTCCAGGAATCAGCTACAAGCATTTTTAATGATATTCTCCAAACAGAAACGGAAAGACTGACCTGCTGTGTTACAAATAACCATGAAGTTTTACACTGTTTAAATGCATAATGAGCTCGAAGTTAATGATTCTTTCAAGAACTCACATATTCACAGCATGTCAAAAGAGATTGAGTTAGATGAAGTGACAGCATTACAAAGATACTGTTTGAATGATGTTATTATAATTTTTATTTTGTATTACAGTAGTTTGAAAAAAACGCTAGGTGTAGTCTTTAAAAATCCCAGGACTTAGCAATTAATTAAGTTTTGTTTTTGTGGATGCATCTGGTTTCAAGTTCTTGTTCTCATAAAACATTGGTTAACTATTTTAAAAGAGATTTATTTTCTTATTAGTGCGTAGATATCTAATCTTTTTAGACTTTTATAACACTTGTTCTCTTTATGAAAGCTTTGCTGGGTTAGAGAAATTAAAGTATAAAGAAGGAAAATGATTTATCCATAGTTACAAATCTACTAAATATTACAAGCTGGGATTTGAAGCCAGATCTCCTGACCCCACAGCCAGTATACTTTCCCCTAGTCCATGTGGTATGCCACAGCAGTAGCTTTAATGTAGTTGCTCTTTAGTCATTTCAGTCATGTCCAACTCTGAGACCCTATTTGGGATTTCTTTGGCAGAGGTACTCTGGTGGTTTGCCATTTCCTTCTCTAGATCATTTTATAGATGAAGAAACTGAGGAAAACAGGACTACATTAAGTTAAGGGTTCCACGGCTTATAAGAGTCTGAGGCCAGCTTGGAACCCATGAAGATAAGATTTCCTGACTCCAGGTCTGGTGATCTATCCACTATATCACTTATCTGCCCCTCCACTTATCTGCCCCTAAATAATAGCTTGTTTGGAAACAAAGCTACATAAAACAAACAAAGCAATATTGCATATTAAGTTGCATATGAAAAACCATGGGTTTTTCTTTGAAAGAAAACTTGAAAATTCTAATTGTTATGACAAAACATTCTGATTTATGCATGTGATGGTTTTTCTCCTTCCACCAGTTCTTCAAAACTATTACAAAGGTATTAAAGATGAAGTCAATGGCTAACAAAGTCACCAGAAGAAATATATATATATAATATATGTATGTATATATGTATATATGTATGCATATATGTATATATATATGTATTTTACTTTTGTACTATGATAAATAGAAAAATAGTTCTCTCTGTGTCTGTTTGTCTCTCTCCCTTCTCTCCCTCCCTCCAAATATACATAAACACACATATGCAGATATGTACATAGACACATATATGTAACACATATACACACATATCTGTGTGACATGTACCCAAATAATAACAGTTTAATATATATCATTATATCATTAATGGTATCAATAATTTTTTTTTTTCTAAATACTTAAGGAAGCAAGGCATGGTTAAAAAATAAAATTCAGTTAAAATGGACTTCCAAAGAGATTCAAATTATTTTGTTTTACTCAATTCCTGGAGCCAGAACAAGCCTCAAAGTCAAAACTAAGCTGTAGTTTTAAGGACTTTGAGGGAATATTAGTATTTCATTAAATTAGTCATAGGAGAATTTTGTTTTCTGGGATTTAGAAATGTTTTTTTTTTGACTTGGAATTCTGCTACAGTATTATTTGTTTAGTGAAATGGAGTCTGTTTTTGACAAATAATAATTAAATTATCATCATTATTATAATTAACAATAGTAATAATAATACAATAAAATAATATTAAAGTTAATTAACAAACAACTCCCCTGATTGGTAGTTGGATTCTGGAGAATTTGGCATTCAATCTTTACTTTACTTCAAAAGACCTTGGTTAAGTCACTTAATGTCTTTAGAATTCAGTTTCTTAATTTCCAAATAAGGGAATTAGACTAAGTGATCTTTGAGTTCTGTTCTAGATTGAAGTCAATGACATTATGAGTCTCTTATTTTGGTTCTTCCATATTTATGATCTGTAAGTGGTGACTTTATATCTCCGGGCCCCAATTTTCTTATCTGTAAAATGTGGTGGTTTGACTGTATTGTCCTCTATAAAAATCTTTCCTTGACACTCAAGGAATGTCCTTTCTGTCCAATTGTCTAAATAAAAATATGAACATAAACAGTAGGGGGCAGCAGAACACTTTTATCAGTTTTCCCTTTTTTTCTCGATACCCTTCAAATTCAATAACCACCTATCTATTCCTATCATTTTAATGAATTTTAAAAACCCCTCAAGCAGTTAACATGGTTCTATCACTCTATTCATTATTCACTATTGGATAGGTTATATTGTGGGCTTTGACACAAACGTGATTGACAGAATGAATAGAAGTCACCTCAAGATACAAATGTATATATTTCAGATCAAGTCATAATGTTTAACAAGATAATTGTTAATGGGAGTTACTAATCTCATTAAAGAAATGGTTCACCTTTTTCTTAGTCAGTGAGGCACTTTCCGAATGTCTCTCTGTGATTTTTAAACATCCATTTCATTGGAGTTGTTTTAAATCTGGACAGAGTTTCATATTGTGATAGTTGTTAAATTAATGAGCACATCTTAATTAGCATTTCCCAAATGACTTATTGGTAGCAGACGGTAGAAATAACAAACTTTAAAACTAATCTGATTTATTTTCACAGTCATTTACATATGATGGCATAGAGTTTGGAATTAACTTCCTAGTTTTCAGTTGTAGGAAAAAAAACTGAATTAAGATTTCAATAAGACTGAAAGGACAGTCACAGAAATAAAACCCTCTGTGAGGAAAAAAGAGGGGCTATTGGTAAATAAATCTGCTACAGTTACTAAGGCAAGCAGTACATTCAAGTGGTATTATTTATTTATATTTAGTTTAAAAGTTTTGAACTTTTGACTTTTAAAATATTTAACACACTAAAAAACTAATAATCTGCTAATGTCTAATCCAATTTACCTTAAGATATAACAAATGTCAACAGATTTGTATGGAGTGCAATATAATGTACTACTTCTGCATAGACAATGAAACATAGACAGCCTCATGAATTTTTAATACAGACATGGAAAATATGAAACTATTTACCTGCTGCAAAAAGCATAACTGCAACTGGTCTATAGAAACGTCTCCGAGATCCCACGCAGATTGATATCAGTCCAACTAGGAAGGCAATGAGAATGATGGCAGCACCACCCAAGAGTAAGGCCAGTGTAGCAATTTGCCAGTCTAGAAGAGGAAAAGAAAATAAATGATGTTAAGCTGCAACTCTACAAAGTATAAAGCAGGGTAATGGTCCACAGTTCCCACTAAGGTGTACTTAAATGGAACCAACTAACTGAAAAATGAAGTGAGAAAAATCTCTTATAGATATTCAATGTGGTATAGTAGAATGAGTACTGGTTGTGCTATCAGAGCACCTGGTTTCAAATCACATCTGAGGATTCTATGTGCATGACCTTGGGTAAGTCATCCAATATCCATGAGATTCAGTGTTCTTATCTGTACGAGAGGGTGAAATTTGATGTCCTTTAAGTTTTCTTCTTGTTCTAGATCTATGATAATATATCCCTTGTACTTGTGTTTGGATAATTTAACTCACCAGTGCTCCTATGACCTTCAAGACAATGTTTTCCCCATTTTGTTTTTCATCCTTCTATGGATTTTGCTAACATATATGTATGTCAAATCCATTCAAAGAGCCATGTGAGAGATACATGGCAGATATAAGCAAGCTGCACCAAATTATTAATGATAACTTGCATATAAAAAGTATCATAAAATACAGAATCATGAAAATTGATCACTTATAAAAAGAAATGGATCAGTCATGTAGTGAGGGTAAGGGGTGCCAAGTGGACAGTTTGAGTATTGTATCAGTCTGTATATAATATTAAAAGATCAAGAGAAAGCTCTCTAGTGTGTTAGCTAGCTCCTTTTCCCAAGATTGACAGGAGAACCTGGACAAGAACACTACAGGATGAGAAGGCATGGAGGGGTTTCAATCTGCATTTATGGAGGGAGAGTTCACTCTAATAATCACAAGTCCACTACAGTTCTGAAGTATGAATAATTTTCATTCCTGGATTTCATTTTCTTGAATCTCAAAGGAAGGTGACTTTACCCTTGTAATATTCTTCCATCATTTTCCTCCCATCAGATAGATATATTTATAAAATGCTTAAGACAGTGTTTGGCACATACTAAGTGCTATATACATGCTAATTATTATTAAAAGCTGTGTTGTTTCTTTTAAATCCTGAGAATCTCTCTCTCTCTCTCTCTCTCTCTCTCTCTCTCTCTCTCTCTCTCTCTCCATGTTATCCCATCCCAGTTCTAATAGCCTCATCACCACCTGAGAAACATATTCTAAGATTGGATCTGTACAGTGAGTCAGAAAAAAAAATGCTACATTGCTGTTGAATCTACTTTTCATTCATTCATTCATTCATTCATTCATTCATTCATTCACTCATTCAATACTGATTGGATTCTTTCCATGATCAAAGCATAATGCTTAGATACTTCCAGATTTTTTCAATCAAACTAACTGTGAAGGTTACTGAGAAATGTCCTCCATCAGGTGTAAAACTGAAAAAATAGAAATGCTGTGGTAGGACTCTTTTCTCATCCACATTTTCAATTGTCTTAGAGGCAGAATGAATAATTTGAGAAGATGAATAGCTACATAAAAGCATTTAAAAGTTAAAAGTACAATGTAAATGCAACAAATTATTGACATAATTTATTTTTTAATCATAACCCTTACATCCAACACATTTCTAAGTTGCTTTTCTAACACTAATAGTTAGAATATTTGAGTTGTCAAAGACTTCAGATGTCATATTGTTTATCACCTTCGTTTTATGGATTAGGTAACTGAAAGCCAGGCAGAGAACATACATTGTGCAAATGTATACAGATCTGTACTATAAAAAAGAAGCAGAAGGGGCAGCTAGGTGGTGCAGCGGATAGAGCACTGGCCCTGAAGTCAGGAGGACCTGAGTTCACATCCAGCCTCAGACCAAACACTTGACACTTACTAGCTGTGTGACCCTGGGCAAGTCACTTAACCCCAATTGCTTAAAAAAAAAAAAAAAGAAAAAAGAAAAAAAAAGAAGCAGGACCCAGGTCACCTGACTTCCTCTCTAAGGTGTTTGTTGTACCAATAATTCACGCAGTAAATGAAAACTAATTTACATTTTGTCTAGAAGTTGAGCTTGAATTAACTTCGGATAATTACTCATTATAAATCCCTCCCTTTGCAGAATGTTTGGTTTTATTTTCTGATTTTTAGAAAGTTATTCTCAATATTTTAATGAATCCTTTATTTAAAACAATATTGTTGGAGGATAAAATTCACTGGAGTGAGAGACTACTGATTTCAGTTAGCTACAGTGCTGAGAAAATGTCTTCATTTGGGGGAGTTACTGAGTCAACTTAAAAAAAATCATCTTGCAGTGCTTTTTCATCTCATATTTCTCCTCTTCTATGTCAAAAATCTCTTTCTTGGTGCCTATGTTTATTCAGTCTCTTTTTCTTGAAGTATGTATCAGTGAGATACTTAGAATATTCACCCTCAGAATACAGGCCTTGGTAGGGGTGGCAAAGACAAATTTCTGATTTTGTTTTATTTTGTTTTTCCCAGAGGAACAAGGTTGATAGTCAGAAATCCAGCCACATGGGTAAGCCATTAGCCATTTGCTTTAGGAAAACTAAGTGCTTTACTCAATGGTGACCAATAAGGATAACCAAAAATATTCTAGAACTGATGCTAGTTCTCAGTACCCTTGCACACTGGATGAAAGACTTTTTTGCCATAACAGCTTGCAGGGTACATCCTCAGTATGATAACTAGGCATTTTACAATTTTAGTCATTCAAGTACCTCCATTCTTATCACCACCTCCAGGCTTTGAGGAAGTAGGAAATTTCTTTTCTTTTCCTTTCAATTTTGGGTTTAGGTACAATATATTTCCTGCTTGTACATAGCTTTCCTGGGGAAAAAATAAACAAAAAAATAAAACTGCCTTCTGACCGGCCTGGAGTTTTGATTGCAATGCTTTCCAGGGTTGAGGTCACTCATTATTTTTCCTTTCTGCATTTTTTTCCCTTTTTCACCTACCGTCTTTAGAGAAGGGAAAAAAATTAACGTCTGGGCTTGTAGTCTATAAGTAGGAGCAGTAGGTATTTAGTTCACTTCTATTTTCTCAGATCTTATGATTTTTGAGATACTAAGGCACATACAGAGATAGAAAACAAAAGAATTACTCCTTTTACTTTCTTTCACTCTATGTGCCTTCTTCCATACTTTTATTTTCTACTTGTTTTTTCATTGTTTAATTGAATTATTTGAGAATGAATCTCCCTACTTAGCCCAGGCTAGAAGTACAGAAGCCACTCTGAAAAGACCTATAGTAATTGGTATGGAATTTTGACCTGCTCCATTTTTTTCCACCTTGGCCAGTTCAACCTTATTTAAGAAGCCTCTCCTCCCCAGGGTTCAACATAATAGTGACAGTCTTAGAACATTCCATTAGATTTAGCCTACTACTACTAGCCTACTGAGCTTCAGTGATCCACCATTCTCATCCTCCCATCAGCAGGAGGGATTACAAGTACATTCTATCAGGCCTCACCTCCACCAAAAAAAAAAAGTTAAAAGGAAAAAAATAGAATAAACTCTTTAAAACAAATGAAAAGGTATATCTTACCAAATGGTATGATTTTCAATATACACATATATGTGGTTTGCTTTTAACAAAATGACATAACTTCAAACAAAAGAACATTTATCTTTCTATTGTGAGTTAAAGGGACATTTCTAAAGTGGCTTTTATGTGCTATAACACCATTACAGCATATAGCTTTGAATGAAAATGCATACAAAAATATTCTTAGAATTAATTCCAAATATATTTGTGAAAATATGTGTATAGAATAGATTTATCTTGGCTGCTACAAGAGACGTGCTCCTGAAAGCTTGTGGGTAAATCAACATTTTAAATGAAGTAGTAGAGTAATTTAAAAAAAAAATTAAGGTGATTTAAAAAATTAAGAATGTGACATTAATTATATATGATTTCACATGTTGGATTCACTCAAATATAGCAGTTATACTTGTAGAAGAATATATATGTACATATATATTAATGTTCATCATTTCTAAAAATGTATTTTTAGTTTTCAACATTCACTTCCATAAGACAATGAGTTCCAAATTTTCTCCCCATTCCTCCCCTCCTCCCACCCCAAGACTGTGTGCAATTTGATTTAGGTTCTACATATGCATTCATATTGAATCTATTTTCACATTAGTCATGTTGTAAAGAAGAATTAGAACCAATGGGAGAAACCATGAGAATGAAGAAACAAAAAAAAAAAAAACCACACAAAAAAAGAGAAAGAACAAATAATATGCTTTGATCTGCATTCAGACTCCCTTGTTCTTTTTCTGGATGTGAGCAACATTTTCCATCATGAATCCTTTGGAGTTGTGTTGGATTCTTGCGTTTCTAAGAAGAGATGAGTCTATCAAAGTTAGTCATTGCACATTGTGGCTGTTACTCTGAACAATGTTCTCCTGGTTCTGCTTACTTCACTTAGCATCAGTTCATAGAAGAAACTATTTTAAATTTTAAAAAAACACTTTTTTATGTTTTATCTCAAAGCTGTGTTCTGATTTCTTCACTGCAGATGTTCCTTTCACAAAGGTAGCAGTCTATGACTTACTAAAGAAACACTAAAAATTTGTTTAAAGGACATAGAAATTAAGTGACTTGCCCAGAATCACACAAACTAATGTCTGATTTGGGATTTAAACTTGTCTTTCTGACTCCAAAAACTGCCTGTCTGTCACTATATCAAGCTACCTCTATTTTAAGTATGTTAGCACGCAGAAAATCCCATGTCTATATGGAATAGAGTATTTCAAGTGCGAATTTTAATGGTCAAGATTATTCTTTTAGCAAATGAATTTTGTCATGATTTTGTCTAGCACTATAAAGTATACTCTTGGTAATTTGATTTGTATAGTACTAAGCCTATAAATTAAGTAAGGCCACTCTTTCTGGTTCAGTGTTTCTCATAAATAAGCTATAAAAAACAATCTATGTATGTCAGTGCTGTGCAGTGTTTTGTTTTGTTTTTAATATCACATCGGTTAAAGCATTTCCACAAAATTATGATATTGTAAAAATTTGTACTAGTGAAAGTGATAGGATTAAGAAA